TATTAACTATATTACGATCTTTTATAAAGCGCTAGCTACGTAGGGATCTATTTTTAATATAAGTAACTAACTCCTCTACTACGTAAGTAATATACTAAAATATAAACTTACTATACTTAACTTAGTACCTACGTTTATTAATATTTACTACTAGCTTAGCACTTCGATTAATATTATAAAAAGAGAGCATAACCGTAGTAAGTAATAGTAGTATTTTTAGGATAATACTTATAATAAAGAGGTCCCCGCTACTTACTAGACTAATTATACTTATAGTAGCTTTAGTAAAGAGACCTAGTTTAATAAACGAAATTAATATAGCTACGGTATTACTAACAAAAAGTGCTTTATTTATTATAAGACCGGTTATTAGTTAACTAAGTACTTAGAGGAAGAGTAACGTTAGGTATACTAAAAATATAAAAAAAGTAAAGAAAAAAACAAGAGATCTATACTAAGCTTATACTTATAGTTCTTTGCTTTTTATAAAAAAACTGCCCCTATTAATAACGATAACGATAATAATACTATAATCTAATACTTTAATAACCTCGATTTTAACTATAAGGATAACTACGAAAATAAAGTCTAAATTTTAATAATATACCTTACGACTATTACTAGTAATAGAGCCCTTATAAATATCCTCGCTACTTAGGTAATAAAATATAGCTTTATTAATACTATTTTTATTAACAAGTTAACTAAGTTTATAGAACTAGTAACCTCTTTTTTATTAAATAAGAAGTACTCGTTAAGGGACTTTTAAAGTATTATACTTAATACTAGCGCTACGGAATTCTTAATTACGGGCTACCCTTAATTCCTTATATTATAATAATAACGACCTAAAGTTATTTTTAATACCTCTAAAACTAGTAAAATAAGTATTTAATTTAGTAATAGTAAACTTATAAAGTCGTTAAAATTTATAGTTATTAGTACCCTATTTAGTAATATTACTTTTTACGTCTTACTAACTAATACTCCTTTTTTATACTACCTAAGAGATATAGATAAGCTAAGAGTATACTTTAATAATATTAATAACTTACTAATTAAGGGAGATATTATAGTACTTATTATTCGTAAATAGGGATACCCTTAGCTTTTACTCTTTAATAATAAAAAAGCTATTATTAATTACTTAATAGAGGGCGAATTACGCTACTTATATTAGTACTTTAGCTACCTTTTAGTTCTTTATTTCTTAAACTACTCTAGTAGTTTAGTAATAATATAGAGATCGTAGCCCTTAAGAGGCTTATAAAGGTTTACTAATAATACTAACTTAATAGTACTACCCCTAGCTAATTCAAATTTACCTTATAAAATAATTACGATTTTAATTATAAAATCGTAATTAATATAATATACTTAATAAATAATAAGGGTACTAACTAACTAATACTTTATATTATTAATACTATTATTTCTTTTTAAGTAGCAAAGTTCTTCGTAAATATAATTATAAAGTATATATAAGAAGCTCTTTAGCTATATTAAATTAACGTCTATTTTAATCTACCGGACTAAATTATTATAAATATTAATAAGAACTTTAGTACTATAAAGTTTAAGTCTTTTATTAGATCTATATTTATTAAGGTTAAGGAAGTACTTATCGAAGCTTATAATAGTATTAATAAGGCTAAGAAATACTACGTAATACTTAAAAAAGTATATAATATTATTTAAAATAAGTGCTTATCGATAAGCGCAGAGGTTATATTTTAGGCTGTAATTAAAGTAATTAATAATATAATTAGCCCGAATAGCCTCGTTCTTATACTCCTTATTTTTAGAGCTTTTCTATATATTTCTAATAACTCTCTATTATTACTAAATATTACTTAACGTATAGAGGTAGTTAAAAAGATAATAAGGGAAGTCCGTAGACTTTATATTAGTAAATAAGTAAGCGAGGTACTAGCTATTTAAAATAGACTAAATATCTCTTATATAATTAATCTATTACTATAGTTAAACATTAAAGTTTAGTAAGAAAGTAAGGGATAAAAAGGCCTATTTAAGCTTGTTTTAATAAGTAGTACTACTTATATAGTGGACTTACTTTATAGCTTAATAAGCTTTTGGGCTATTATAATTAAACCCTAGTACTTAGAAAAGGTCGACCCCGAGCTATTAGCTACGGTAATAAAGTATATTAACTACTTACTAATCCCCGTAGTTAACTAGCTAACTAATAGTAGCGCTATTATTAATAAGATCTTTAATAAGATCGTTATAATAATTAATAATAACCCTCTATTATAAAAGAAGAGGATTAAAAAAATATTAATACGGCGCGGCCGTAATAATATTTCTATAATTATTATTTACTTTATATTGAAAAAAGAAGTAAACCTTAAGCTAGTTACTAAACTCCGTAATAAGGGTATTATTACTATACTAAGAGTACTTTTTATAAAATCCATTAATAAAAAGCTTTTAGGACTAGTTAAGAAAGGTATAATTAAATTCGTTTAACTTAGCCTTAAATATAAAGATATAAGGATATTTAAATCTCGATTTATTAATAAAATTAAGAACCTAGGACTTAACCCTATTAAAAAATCTTACCTAGTTATATAAAAGTATAATAATAAAAGGAAAAAGGAGATCTTTACGTAGTTATTAATAATTTAAAAAACTAGTTAATATTTAATCCTTGCCCTAGCCCCGATCCTAATCTAGGAAGGGTATATTATTTAGTTACGAAATATTATTTAAGTATATATATAATTAAGCTAACCTCTTTGTTATAAGGTTTTTATTTAATTACTAGCTCGGATCCGTTATTTATACCCTAAGGGTACTATTCTATACGTTATATAGCTACTATATAGTTTTATAAAATCTAGTACTTATTAATAAATAATATATAGTAAGTATTATTTAAAAATACTCTAGATAATAATATTTACGTTTGACCTATACTTATTAATCTTAATAAGAGAAAGCGGATTATTTAGTATTATTAAAATATAGATAGATAATATAATTAAATTATTAAATAAGACCTTTAGTTAGAAAGAAGAGACTAAGCTTAAGCACGCTAAATTACTAACTAAACTAAAGTAGTAACTATTAGCTAATAAGCCGCTTATTTTTAATAACAAAATTATTTTATTAAAAAGTATTAATATAATACTTAAATAGAAGAATTAAAAAAAAAAGCTTAAGTAAGTTAACCCCTTAATATTGGACGCTAAATAATAATTTATTAAATAGCGAGCTCGAGGTACTTATATTATATTAATTTATTAATTAAAAGTAGCTTTTAATATATTATTTATTACTTAATACTAAGTAAATCCGTTATTTACTAATTATACTATACTAAACCGTTATATTAAATAGTAAATAGATTATTTAAACCGAGGGCTTATATTTATACTATTAAATCTAACTATAGCTAAACTCTTTATTTTCGTAAATAGGTTATTCGTAAATAACGCTAATTATACCTTATAACTAAGTTATATTATTATCTTTATAAATAAAAAATAGACTAACGAGAGCTTTATAATTAATAATAATATTATTTACTATAGCTTTACGAAGAACAAAAGGATTACTTAGAGTATATTAGTATTAGAGGTTTACGGAATAGTTATAAGTATTAATATTACTTATACTATTTTAACTACCCTAAACCTTATTACTAAATAACTTAACGTTCTAAAGATCCCTATTATAATCTATATAGATTTATACTTACTATATAAATACCTCGTTAAGCTAAGTACTATAAAAAAAAAGCGCCTTATAATAAATATTATAGTACTTTAATAATTATATAAACGCTACGAGTTTTATAAAATCCGTTAAATTAGTAGTAATAATAACTTAGCTAACGGGTTTATAAAGAGTATATTAAATAAGTTCTTTAAGTAATTTGTTAATAAAGGAATTATTATAATTAAAATAGAAGGGTAAGTAATACGTAATTAAAATAGTAGTATATTATAAGTAATAAGTTATTTAGCGAACGTATATACTTCTTGGGCTTTAGCTTAGAGAGAAACGTATATATTTAGGGCGTAATTAAACTAATAAAAAGCTCTTTTTTAACTATACTAAATTTAATAATTTTTAAAGAGTTTAAGTATATAAATTATATATATTAAAAGATAAAGAAGTAATTAAAAAAAGAGGATAATGAAATTTTTATATAAATAATTATAATAAAAGCTATACTAAAATTTTAGTATATAGCTTTAGGTATTTCTAAATAAGGGATTAATAATAAATTCTACTATTAGTTTTTATTAGTAAGGGACCCTACCCCTATTCTATTTATTTTTATTATAAGAGTAAAAAACTATTAATATTAAATTACGAAGTAAAAAAAGGACCTTATTAAGTAGTTAGGTAAGGGTAGTAGGTAAGTAGTCTGGGCTTATATAAACGGACCCTTCTACTTACTTATACCTATAGAGGGATCGCGGGCCCTACTTACGAACTTCTACTCCTATACACACGTAATAGACCTATACTGACCTATTAACCTTATTGCGACCGAACGGTCTGACCTGCCTACGTATATACTAACATCAACAGTCTGGAGAAGGGTCTCGAAACCGGACCTTGGCGGATGTTGCCGTTTGTTGTCTTGTCCGTAACGGCCGCTAATCTTCGTCCAGATATCTAGATCCTATGTTCCCGCCAGGAACCTTCAGAGTGCCTTTTTGAGATGTATCACAGCGGGACGGACCGGAGTAATGCGGCTAGGCAGACGCGAAAACTCATCTCGCCGTCAGCAGAGCTTATCGTTGCAGAGAGCAAAAGAGTCATTAGACCCATGTCCGTGTCCCCGAAACTATTCCGGAAATGGCAGCTTCACAAGTGAGAAGTATTAGTCACACTCTCACAACATACAACAACGCCTCGAGTTCTCAACCAACTTCCAGTAAACAGCTCACAACTCAATACATACCCACCAACCTACAACCCTCAGAGTCTGCAGAGATTCTAGACCCTGAAAGCTGCCAAACATGTCCCCTACGCAAGATCTTCCACCCGCAATCCTCGCCCTGCCGAAAGCAATAATACGACCCTACCACAAAACAGACGCACCCGCCCTCTCCACCGCAGCAAACTCCCCCTCCGTATCCCGCTACCTCCGCGACTCCTTCCCCCGCCCCTACACCCTCGCCGACGCAGAGTCCTGGATCGCGATGAATTCCAGCGACGGCGGCGCGCCGGTGTACAACTGGGTCATCGCCTGTCCAGAAACGGGGAGGCCTATGGGGAGTATCGGGCTCGTGCCGGGGAAGGATGTTTATGCGAGGGGGTATGAGCTTGGGTACTGGCTTGGAGAGGAGGATTGGGGGAAGGGGGTTATGGGGTGTGTTGTGCCTGCTTTTGTGAGGTGGGTTTTTGAGGGGATGGGTGGTGGAGAGGTTGATGGGGAGGGGAAGAGGAAGGTTGAGAGAGTTTGGGCGGGTGTTTTTGAGGCGAATGAGGGGAGTCAGAAGGTTCTTGAGAAGAGTGGGTTTGTGTTTGAGGGGAGGGCGAGGAGAGCTGTTGTTAGAGATGGGGTTGTGATGGATGAGCTTTTGTACTCTGTTATCAGGGACGACTTGAAGAAGTGATTATGATCGCTCAATGCAATATTGCCACCTGTGTGATTTTCCCCAGACGCCTCAATCTCTTCACAGCATGGGTGGGAGTTGTCTTGACCGAGCAATGGTAGGTCTCAATCGGTGAAAAGCATTCGTGTCAAGAAGCTTGATAAAGGTAGCTCGATCACAGATTTGCGTCTGGGCATCTAGGCTCCAAAACAGGAGGCACTAGGCGACGATCCCTATGGGCTTCAATAACCAAAGCATGGGAGTCGCTGCCTGCCACCCAAGAGAGAAATTAAATGGCGGAGCCTGGTTTAAGCAGTGATGTCTTTCTGACAATAATTAGGTTCCAGTGGGCGAGATTACAATTGAGCGGATTTGTCGCGAGACTGTCGAGGAGGATATCGTGGCAGTCTTTCGAGACAACCTCCCCCACGGCCTTGACCTTCTTTACCAAGTATCTCTCGATTACATTTCCCACTCTGGGGAGGTGGCCCAAGACATTGCTACAATAGTTCTGTCTTGTGTTCTACACATGGTAGAACCGCCGAGACCTCGGGCCCTTCTAAAGGCCATATCTGCTGAACAAGCCTTGACCTTAGACTTGACACAGGTGTTGGTGATTTGCCCAAACTTGTCTTCCTAGACATCAAGTGCGACGTACTGCGGTTCTCCCACTAGTCAGTTCGCGACTTCTTAAGGCGCCATCAGGCCTTTTACCTGTCACAGCTCACTACACCCTCGCGTCTCTCTGCATCGGAGTTTGCTCGCGAGGACTAGATCTTGTATCCATCAACGGAATGCAGATTCCAAGCGACGAATCTCATATCTACGCAGCGATGTACTGGCCGGTCCACTCCAAATTGGCATTCTATTTTGGCACAGACACACTAACTATGAAACGTGTTGAAAAGGATGTAACAACATTCATCTTTGATGGAGATTGGGATACCGCACTTTCTTACGAGAGCTGGGCGATAAATGCCCATAAGATCAATCTACTTCTTCCGGGAGACCATGCTCTGAAAGGCGAAATGAGTGCGATTGACTCATAAAACTCTGGATTCCTATTTACACTGAGCACATTTGGACTCGACTGCATTCAACACCAAGCGTTAGCGAACATCAGCAACGTGGACGTCAACCTACAAAACCATCTGTGTCAGATCTCCACTTACTTAGCCGCGGCATTTGGGCATTCAGCGACATTGTCCTTACTTGCTGATCGCGGCGCACTCGTCGACCTTTAAGTGTGGAAGACATGGGAGTCCTTCATATGCAGCTTGCTTTTCTGCCCATTTGCAACTAGTCAAAGATTGCCTCCTCCATGGCGCCAAAGTTTCGTGTGGCTCTAGATTTGGAACAGCATTTGAAGCTGCTTACCGAGGTAGACAAGAAGACGTAGCGATGCATCTTCTACAAGTGGGAGTCGTTGTCAGGGATAGAGGAGAGTATGAAAAGTTCATTGGGAGTGCAGCCTTGGTCGGGTTTGTCAACGCAGTCCAGAAACCACATGATTCTGCATTTGCTGCTTGAACATCGACAATAGCTGCCAGAGTACGAACGAAAATCAAGATCAGGAGGGCGATACAAAGCGGACAAAGCGGCGTCTTGCAGTAGTTTCTGAGTCAAACTCTCAGCAACCAAAGTCTTCTCACTTCGGATGCTGTTGCGCTTGCGGTTTAATTCAATGATAGATCGATATTGGAACTACCCCTAGACATGGGAATGGATATTGAGGCCAGCGGCGCTTTCGGTCCTCCCTTGAGAACAGCCTCGTTGCTCAATTATCAGTCGAACGTCCGGTAATTACTCCAAAGAGGCGCACTGATCAATACCTGCGGACACTTCGGCGATTCTCTACAGACTGCTGCTATCAATGGGCATGTATCGATCGTCAGACTTCTGGTCCTAGAGGCTGCCTTGAAGAATTAACAAACCGGATTTTACGGATCAGTTCTGTAAGCTGCTGCGTAACATGGCTACATTGATGTCGTTGAAGTACTCCTGGACTCTGGTGCGGATGTCTATCAGAGTGGATACTATGCCAATGCCTTTCAAGCGGCTTCCAGAGGGAGCACCAAGCCGCCTTGAAGCTGATGCGGGAAAAGCGCTGTGCCTCTCAACAAGGCTCAATACCAATTTCTCATATTGATGAATTCGAAGCTCTGGTTGCTTTACGAAGAGAGCACTCAGGAGTCGCTCTATGCTAGACATATTAGACTTGGTCGCATTCGGTCTTAGGTGTCTAGGTACCTATGATGTTTAAACTTGCCTACGTAGCCTAACAACACAGCGTAATATTACCAAGATTCCGCTTAGGATACGCTCTCATTTCCCCTAGACTGCTTGAAATCTGCGGGGTTGTGTCAAAGTCTTTCACTCATATATGCTTACTTCCAGAACAATATCACTCCTGTGTTAATCAGATCTTATCCAGGGCAGACGCCCCGGAATTCTCATTTCCTCTGGCCCTCCAACAATTCTGGGTAATTCTATATCTGGCAAATCTTCCACCAGTTTTGTCATTTAAAAAACCTTAATTGAAAGTAAATAGTCATTCATCACTCAATTTGACACCGCCATCCCAGAACAGACGCCTCCTCACTTGTGATTTGACCCTGTCAACAGCCTTACCGAGACGAGATGTCATCATCCATCCCCACGCTGTGACCTGATTAGTAGCCAACTTATGATTCATGCAACATCACGTCAGGATTTGGGATAAGTCAACATACCCACTTCCTGGCACCCCCCTGTTTCTGGCACCCACAAAAACGCGAAAATCCACCACAACCCAATGCCCACCCCCAACCTCCTTTTATCACAACATTTTCAATTCGCGTCCAAATGGGCTCATCTTTTGCACATGTCTTCTTCTATATATAATGCCTCAATATACCGAAGATCAGCTTCGTCAGGCTCTCGAGGA